CCCCTCCCTCCCTCGCTCCCCTCCCTCCTCTTTTGAAACAGGGTCTTCCTGTAGCCCCAGCTGTCCTGGAACTCACTATGTAGACCAGACTGGCCTTGAAACTCACAGAGATCTGCCTACCTCTGCCTCCCAGTGCTGGGATTAAAGGCGTGTGCCACCAAGCCTGGTTTGGTATGGACTTTGTAAAACAGAAACTTTCTTAGGCTTCTTCATAAATTTCTGCTTCAAAATTATGAGTTATGCAAGAAGTATCCACACTAGAAAGAACCCTGTCAGAGCAGAGTTCTTACAGGTGATACGTTTATTTATTTTAGAAGAGTTGTTGGTTAGTACACTGCAAGGGAACAGTAGGCCGGGCAGTAACTAGAGCTCTATTTTTTCCTCTTTTCCTTTTCCTTTCCCTCTTTTCCTTTTCCTTTCCCTCTTCCCTTCCCTTCGCTTTTTCGAAAAGACAGGGGCTCATGCATCCCAGGCTGCCCTGGAACTCATATGTAGCCTTCCAATCCTCCCACCTCCACCTCCTGAGTGTTGGGATTACTAATGTGTGCCACCATGCCTAGTTTATACAGTACTGAGACTCAAACCCAGGGATTTATACCTTCTAGACAAACATTCTTCCAAGTGAGCTACATCCTGAGCTTCTATTTTTAAAGAAATTATCTTGCAGACTGGATGTATACATATATATCTAATCTTGCAGTATTGGGGAACTGAACCTTTTTTTTTAACGTTTTTTTGGAGATTGGATCTCACTGTTTCTCATGGTTTCCTCAGACTCATTCTGTAGCCCCTGAACATTTGCTTCTAGTAGTTGGGATTATAGGCCTGAGCCACCAGGTTTGGCTGCCTTTATTTTTTTCTTTTTCTTTCTTTTTTTTCTTTTTTTAAGAGAGGGTCTCCTTGTAGCCCCAACTGGCCTGGAACTCACTACATAGACCAGGCTGGCCTCGAACTCACAAAGATCTGCCTGCCTCTGCCTCCCAATTGCTGGGATTAAAGGCATGCACCACCACGCCCAGCTTTATTTATTTTTTCAAAGTAAACTTTGTTTCTATTTTATGTATGAATGTTTGGCCTGCATGTATGAAAGTGCACCATGCTCATGCATGGCCAGAAAAGGCCATCAGATCCCTTGGAACTTGAGTTATAGATGTATGTTAGCCACCATGTAGATGCTGGGAACCCAATCCAAGTCCTCTGCAAGAGCAGCCAGTGCTCTTAACCACTGAGTCATCTCTCCACCCCTCAAAACAAACTTTGGTAGTAATACTTCGATTCAGAGTAATGGAGGGGAAAGAGGAGAGCGGGAAGCAGAAGCCTTTTTCCTTTTCTCTCCTAAAATGCAGGAACTAGGTAGATGGGGAATGGGGACTCACCAAAATAAATGGAGCTCAGTTGGTAGAGTGCTTACTTAGCATGCGCTGAGGCCTTGGGTTCCCTTCCCAGCACCACATAAGCCCCTCCTGGTGGATCTCACTTGTGATCTCAGCACTCAGGAGGTGGAGGCTGGAGGATCAGAAGTTCAAGGCCAGCCTCTGCAGGGAATTCAAGACAGCCTGGAATATTCTCCCAAAAAATACTCACCTCTTCCTCCATCCAAATAATTTTATTAAATTCAAGTCTTTTTGTAGTTGGGGAGTTGAGCCCCCAGGGCTTTGTCTATCCTAGGGGGTAGTAACTGGAGACTGAACCCAGGTGTTGACCATACTAGGTAGTACTCTACCCCCAGCCACATCCACGGCCTCTTGACATTTAGAATCAAAAAAGATGGAGGAGGGGAGGACTCAGTTTTCTCAGGAATCTTGTGGGAAAAGTTTGAGCCATTTCTAGCTGGAGTCCCAACCCCGAAGGCTGAGCAGGTCTGGGCAGGGGTTTCTCAGGTCACAGCAGCGCACAGACTGTGCAGAAGGAATGCCCGCTCCCCACCCCCGCATCCTCTTCCTCACTCCTACCCCACCCCCACCCCCAACCGCACAGGCTGGAGACCTCCACCTGCCCCTTGCCTGCCTAAGTGGTTCCAGGTGCTCTTGTGGCCCTCAAGACCTGGGCCTCGTGCTGCCGAGGGTGCACGTGCGTGGCCCAGGCTGGACGGTTTGCTGTCCCATCCCGGATGCTCCCACCTGCTCCCCAGCCTTGGGTGGGGGGGGGGACGGTGCCCACATCCCTTCTTGGTGCCGGGTGCAGCAGTCAGGTTCCTCTGCTCTGTCCCGCCCCCCATGGCAGTATAGCCCCGGCCCAGGGCAGGAGGCCGTCCGGAGGTGCCCCTTAGTGGACGGGCCGGCCGAAGAGGAGGTGAGGAGGAGGAGGAGGAGGGGTGAGGATGGCCCGGGAAGAGGAAGCGGGGAGGGCGGGGGGGCGGGTAAGGTTGGTTGTAGAGGAGGAGCATCAGCCCTGGCAGTGGAGGACCCAGCCTGCGCTGTCCTCTGGGTCCGATGTTATTGGCCCCAGGCCCGGGTGCAGTTGGAGGTGGCTCTTTCCCACGGTGCACACGGCTCCCCACGCAGGTACCATCAAGAAGATGCCGAAGGAGAGGGCGGCCCGGAAGGACCCCGGCGTGGCGGAGGGTGGCTCCCGTCAACCCAGCCAGGAGAGCCAGGCCAGGGATGAGTGCAGGCCCCAGAAGCATCCTTCCGGTGGGTACAACTGTTGCCATGCCCCCGGTGCGGCCACCAGGACCGCCCCCCCCACCCCCGAGGGGTCCCCATTCAGACCCCAGAGGTCATTACTTAATGGTGTCCTGTTCTTTTTAGCTCTTCACTGTAAATTTGTGTGTGCCTGTGCGTGTGTGTATGTGAGTGTGCATGCGTATACTGATGTACCAGTTTTCTTCCACACTTAATGATAGGTCCAGCCTCCCAGGGCTCAGGTTGTGTCTGTCACAATGTCCCGGAAGTTGTCCCAATGCAACAAACCTGAGTTCCAATTGGCTTCATGTGTTTGGGTTTTTTTGAGGCAAAATCTTGATGAATCTTGACTGGCCTGGAACTGGACTGTCTCCTTGCTCAGACTGGAGCGCTGGGATCATAGACCTGCTCTACGCAACTCTGTTGAAGTTCACATTCTTGAAGATGGACTTTGAATTTAGTTTGACGCGCTGTAGTTGGAGTTTTTCTCTTGTTGCCGCGTGGGGGCGCTGCTGGTTAACAAAATGACATCAGACAAGCCCAAGGCTTATCTTGGCTTGTTCTGAATAAGAAGCTGAGGTGGGGTGAAAGGTCTATGGTAGCTATTTAAGTCCACAGGTAAAATAACTCAGAAAGAGTATAACCAAATTCCTTTAACATTTCTGGAATTTTGTATATCAAGTTTATTTTATATTGAAAATTCTGGGGCTTTTGGGGGGAGGGGGATTTGAATTTTTAAAGCTATTTTAGTTACATGTTATCTCTACTCTTTGAACTTTAGAGTTCTAGTGCCTGGAACGATGATTCAGTGGTTAACAGCACTTGTTGCTCTTGCCAGAGGACCTGGGTTCAGTTCCCAGCACCTACACTGGGGGTGGGGTGGGTGGGAGCTCGCAACTGCCTATAACTCCAGTTCTAGAGATCCCACACCCACTTCTGGCCTCAATAGGTACTGCGCGCGTGTGGTGCATACACATGTAGGCAAAACTCTCACACACATAAAGTAAAAGTGAACTTTAAATTAGAGATGTTCTGGAGTGACTCGGTGCTTGGTTTTGAGAATGGTGGGGCTGATTTGGAGCTGGAGGGTGCGACCTGCTCTCAGCACTTCACTGAGCAGTCCCGGCTCCTTTTCGTTGTGCTTTGCCGGCTGCTTTGGCTGCACTTACTCAGAGAAGCTGCAGAAATGAAGGAGCATCAGCCTTCTCACAGAGATCTGCCTGCCTCTGCCTCCTGAGTGCTGGGATTAAAGCTGTGCACCACTGTGCCTGGCCCAGTCACTTTTAAAAACCTAAGCAAGGACTCTGGATTTTTATGAATGGCCATCATCACCTTTCCTCTTCATTTGGAAATATTTCAAATTTGTTGAAAAGTAAACTACAGTGACCGTGTACATTGTTAATATGTTAGTATTCTGTTCTTTTTCTCTATATATGTATTGATTTCCTCTCTGCCGTCTGACAGCTAATAGTCATGACTTATGTCATCTTTCTAAGAAAAGGGGTATTATTGTCCTATGTAATCTTCTCTACAATAAATTTGGTTTTTTGTTTAATTTTTAAAAATCTCTTTACTGTGGGAAAATTATACATTTACAGGCCTGCAAGATGGTTCAGGAGGTAAAGCAAGTCTGATGACCCGAGTTTAATCCCAGAAGCCCTTGTAAAAGTGGAAAGTAAGAACTGACTCCACAGAGTTGTCCTCTGAGCTCTGAGCTGCACACACACACCAGGTGTGCACACATCCTGCCCCAAACACATCATACACATGTATTTGAAAATGCACATTTACAAAAGCAACCAAATAGCATAGTGAATCCCATCTGTTCATTTCCTCCTTCACTAGTTTCCCGGCTTCTCTGTTTCCCTCCAGATCTTGAAGCCGGGTAGTTTTCTGTGAGGTTTCACTGAGTGAGAAATCTGCTTTGTGCAACTCCATGTTCCGACTTCGTCATGACAGCCTGGGACATAGCTTGCTGTCAGCTGTACTAGTGCAAAAGTCTGTGTTGTGAAAGCAGGACAGCGATCACCAAGAATCTGTGACTGAAGTCTTAGGGAAGTGTCTGGGGAAACTGACTGATGATACGGCGTATGTGTTTCCTACAGCTATGCAGTGTCAGGTTAAACGATTGCCCTTTATTTTCTCGGTAGTTTCTTTCATTTCTTTTTTCCCCGAGGTTAACTATCTTTTTAATGACATCATAGCTCTGATGGTTTGGGTAAAGGAGAATTTTTGTTTGCTTGGTCATATTTGACAAAATATGAACTCGGCAAATTGCAATTAGTTGCTTAAACTCTTTTGGGAATTTTACTGGTCAGTGAAATCCTGAAATCTGGGAACTTCTGACTTAGAAGACCAAATAACTTCTGTGCTACACACTAACATCTGAGTATTATCTGTGGGGAGAATTTGGCTTTTGTGGTGGGTGGCACCAGACACAGAAAAAAGCTGACATAGTAAGCAAGTGTTGTTTTTTTGTTTTTTTGTTTTTTTTTTTACAAATCACAAATTGTTTCTTTGCAGCTTTATAATAAGAGAATAGCTTTTATTCAGTTTTACTTAATGCTTTTATGAACAATCTTCCCCCCATGTTGGACTTCTGACAATCGCCAGTACTCTTGATGGATCATGGGGTTCAGACTAGTGTGGTTGAGTGAATCTGTGGTATAAATTTGGGTCTGCTAGATTGAGTGAACTGCCAGGCGTGGTTGGACACACATTCAGTCCCAGCACTCAGGAGGCAGGCAGATCTCTGAGATCAAGGCCAGCCTGGTCTGCATAGCAATTTCCAGGCCAGCTGGGGCTACAGGAAGATCCTGTCTCAAAAGTAAAAGGAAAACATTAAAAAAAAAAACACTAGATTAAGTGACTCTCTGAATAGAATAGACTTAGATTGTGTCTACTGTTGTCTACCACAAGTTCTTTGATTTACAGGTGTGACAGAGAAAGTTAATGAAGTTTCCAAGCAGAACAGCGAAATTGGGATTAGTCATGATCCCCATGTGGAGGAGAAGGCTTTGTCTCCGAGCAGGTATGGGCTCTTCTGTTTATCTATTTACTCTCCTGACATTGTTGTTCAGTACTGAGGGCTTCTGACAGGGCTAGATAGACTTGAAGCTGGTGTCTGTCTGTCTGTGATGGTGAGCATCATCAAACTCAGTGCCCACCTTGATGGGCAAGCTCTGGAGCTACAGCTACAACTCTCACAGCATCGTTTAATAATACAGTCAGTATTTCTGTTCAGGAGGTCTCTACAACTTCAACAGGAGGGTAATGAGTTATAATTACTAGTATCAGAATATCAAGGGCAAATGCCATTTAATTGGTACATAAACCAAAGAAATAGTTGCAACAAATAGAGTTGATTTCAGAGCGTCACTGACAGACACAGGAGAAGCAGCCTGGATTGCAAAAGTTCCCAGTTTTTGGTTTCGGCACGTTGCAGTTAGCAGGTTTTCAGATGAAGGGTGCTCAGCCTGTAGGAACTGGCTTCCAGGGTTTAATGAAGACAGTTTACATCTCTGAAGCCTGAAGAAAATACAGGTTTCTCCAAGGAGTTTGAGGCCTGTCAGTGAGACACGGAGAAAGACTCAAAGTGGATATCAAGATATCATAAAATCACAGAAACGTATTACAGAATTTTACAAGAAAGCAGTGGATGCAAGAGAAAATTCAGAAGGCTGTACAGTATAGCCAGCCGAGGGGCTGGAGAAATGGTCACCAGTCAAGAGCACTGGCTACTCTCAGAGATGATCTGGGTTCTGTTTCCAGCACCCACATGGCAGGTCACGGCTGTCTGTAATTCCAGTTCTGCGGGTTCTAGCACCCTTTTCTGGCCTCCACGGACATCGCAGATGGTCTATCTACGTGGAGGCAAAACACTCAGACATGTAAAGTTTTTAAAATCTTTTAAAAAATGTATCCAGATGAATACCAGAAAGTTACATTCACATGACAGGAATTTTATTAGATAAGTGGCTTGGAAATTTAGCTTCTGTTTCTTCTTGGGTGGTTTTGTTTTGAGATAGGGTCTTGTAGCCTAGGATGCCCTGGAATTGACTATGTGGCTGCTGCTGGACTTACTCCTGACCCTCTTGCCTCTACCTCCTGAGTGCTAGGATTCCAGCGGGTATTGTCACCTCAGCTTAGCTTCTGTTTAGCTGAATCACCACATTGATGACCAACAGGGCCTTTGTAGCTTCTGGGGCCTAAGTAATCAGATCTTGAGAAATTAAGGCTCTTATTTTTGCAACTTTGGGGCTTCCAAAGCCAAGGCAAAGTGTTACAAGGGAACTGGTGCAGAGTTGTGCTAGGCAGTGCTTTTCTAGTACTTATCTCACTGCAAAGATGCCCTCCTAAGGCAGGTGCCCATTTTGTAAGCAGCTCATCTGCCCACAGGAGTCCAGCTGGGTTTGTACTTTTGGTTACTGGTGGCCTCTTAAGTGTTCACTGTACCCCTTGTCAAGGTGGGCTTGTGCTCTGGGGTCATAGCCCAATTGTAGTAAATTACCATTTATTGTAAGATTCTGTCTGACCCAGTCAGAAAGCTGAGGCTTTTCTCACCCAAACACACAAAGAACATGTGTAGATAAGTCAGCATTTTCCCTACAGTAACAGCCACTCATTAGAACCCCTGTGGGTTTCCTTTAAAACTTGAGCTCTTGCCAGTGAGTGGCTGTAAACTCAGAGGTCAAGTGCTTGGTACCTCTAAAGTGATCAGAGTGCAGTGTTTCAGACCTGAGGGGAGCCTGCGCATGACTCTTGGGGCCATTTGAGAAAGCCAGGACCCCTAGAAGGGAACAAGGTGAAGACTCTGTTCCTTCAGAGGTCTCCATGTCACCAAGAGACTCCTGCGGGTCCCTTTTTTGTGGTAGCCAGAACAATGATGTTCCCTCCTAGTAATTTTGGATCCACTGACTCTCAGAGCAGTGTATTAAAGGGCAAGCAGAAGTGAACTGGATGGAAGGTGGAAGGTGGCCACGGAGAAAACGGGAAGAGCAGGTCTGAAGAAGCTGATTGCAAGGGTTTTTACTCCCCAAAGGAACATACAGTTAGCAGGTGTTTGAGAAAAAGGAGCTTCCGAAGTTTCTGTGAGAGAGGCAAGTTCCTGTAGAGTGAACAAAGGCCTTCTAGAAATTATAACCTGAGTATCAGCTTTTAATTAAGTCAACTTTTGATCATAGAACTCCTTAAAAAAATCATTTCATTCTTTTTAAATGTAGGACAGTTTTGTTTGTGATGACTTGATTGTTAGTCTCTAGAGGCAAACAGGGAAGGGAGGCCCTTGGTAAGAATCATACTGCTGTGCTTATAAAAATTCAAATTGTTGGGGCTGGAGAGATGGCTCAGAGGTTAAGGGCACTGGCTGCTCTTGCAGAGGACCCGGGTTCAATTCCCAGCACCCACATGGTGGCTGACAACCATCTGTAACTCCAGTTCCAGGGGAATTGAGCACCCTCTTCTGACCTCCACAGGCATTGCACAACATGGGTGCACTTACATACATGCAGGCAATACACTCATAAACATAAAATAAAAATTAGGGCTGGAGAGCTGGCTCAGTGGTTAAGAACACTGGTCGTTCTTGCAGAAGACTGGGGTTCGAATCCCAGCACCCACATGACAGCTAACAACTGTCCATCTGTAACTCCAGTCCCAGGGGGTCTGACAGCCTCTTCTGACCTCTGTGGGCATTGTATGACATGGGTGCACTTACCTACATGCAAGCAATACTCGCATACATATAAAATTAAAAAATTAATTAATTAATTAAGGCTGGGCGTGGTGGTGCACGCCTTTAATCCCAGCATTTGGGAGGCAGAGGCAGGCAGATCTCTGTGAGTTCGAGGCCAGCCTGGTCTACATAGTGAGTTCTAGGTCAGCTGGGGCTACAGGGAGATCCTGTCTCAAAAAGATCAAAAGTAAATTAATTAATTAAAAAATTCAAATGCAAAGCAAGGGGTGTTGTGTGTAGTTGTGTGTGCATGTATGAACATACATAGATGTGTGTAGGGGTGCATACATGTAGAGGCCACAAGCTGATGCCCAGTGTCTTCCTCAGTTGCTTCTCTGTTTTTTGAGACTCTCTCATTGAACCTGGAGCTCAGAGATTCAGGTGGTTTGGCTAAGCAGCAAGCTCCAGGGAGCCTCCTGTCTCTCTCCCCAGTGCTGAGGTCCCAGGACACTCCACTGTACCCAGCTTGTCACGTGCATGCCCGAGGTCCAACCAAAGGTTCTCAATACTTGCAGGTGAAGCGCTTCACCCTGAGCCATCTCCCCCAGCTCTGATTTTAAATCTTTAAAAGACTGGGTTGTGGGCTGGCAGGGTGACTCAGTGCGTAAAGGCGCTTAATAAAAATCCTGAAGACTTGAGTTTGATTCCTGGGACCCACATGGTAGAAGGAGAGAACAGGCTTCCACAAGTTGTCCTGTGACTATGGCATACACACACAGGCGTGTACACACACACTGAATAAAAATAAATGTAATTTTAAAGCTTCAAATGTTGGGTTATAGCCAAGTGTGGTGGTGCACCGCTTTAATCTCGGCACTCAGGAGCAGAGGTAGGCAGATGTCTGTGAGATTGAGGCCAGCCTCTCCGTGGGGAGTTCCAGGCCAACTGGGTCTACAAGGAGACCCTGCCTCAAACAAACAAACAAAAATTAGGTTGCAACCTGACACGTTAAAGAGACTGACCTCACTTACCAACTTGTTTTTAATTTGCTGCTGCTTATCAAGGAGCAGATTTCCATCCCTGTTCTGGATTTAGAACTGATTGAGACATTTTAATCAACTGGTTTCTTTTTGAGAAAGTAACCCCCCTGAGGTTTATGAGAGAGGGGAAAATCCTTTCCCCGCTCTGAATGTAAACCACAGCTCTAAAGCAAAAGGGCATCTCCAAGTGACTCAAAGCACAAGGATAATCCAAATTAATTTTTACTCAAGGCCAAAACTAACTAAACCTTATGTTTTAACTAAGGTCTTCAGAAGATGAAACAGAAGATGCGGCGTGCTCAAGGCGCAGACCTCTGCAGAAGATGGACGAAAAGGACGCGCTCAGGCCACGCAGCAGTCGGTATGCTTGCTGCAGTGGCCCGTGCCCTGGCTTTCCTTCCAGCCTTATGCTTGGGCTTCCCGGCCTTGTGGTTGCCGCTTCACACATAGGCCCCATAAATAGAAAAACAAAGCAGAGCAAATAGGAAAACAAAAGCTAGTTATAGAAAGGAAACACGACTGACAGGCACCCCGGTAGCCAAAAGTCCTACACATTCAAAATAAATAATTCTGATTAACGTATTAAAGTGTTTTTCTCCCAAAGGAGGAGAGAGAGCTCGATCAGGTGACAAGCTTGAAGACCCAAGTTCAATCCGCAGCACTCGTATCAATAGCTGGGCATGATGGCACAGGCATGATGGAGAGACGAAGGGACTCAGTGGCTAGCTAGCCTAACCAAATTGGCAAGCCCCAAGTTCCAGTGAGGGAGTCTATCTAAAAAATCAAGGTGGGGGTTTGGAGAGATGGCTCAGTGGTTAGGAACACAAACTGCCCTTGTAGAGGACCCGTCTGGGTTTGATTCCCAATACCCATATGGAGGGTAGGAATAACTCCAGTTCCTGGGGATCTGATGCCCTCTTCTGAGGTGGATGGTGCCTGAGGAACAGCCCCTGAAGTTGACCTCTGACCTCTAGGCTTATGGACACACAGTGCACCTGCATACACATAAACAGTCACACACACCCAAACACAAATTACAAAGATGTTTCTCATGAGTTCAAGGAATTGACTAAGGAATAAAGCAGCACTCACAAGAGGAGCCATTGAACCCAGGGGCCCAGAGATCTAAATGATCTAGTTTCAAGAATTTTAACTTTGTTTAGATCTGATTTCTGAGTCTTTTTTGGGACAGGGTCTCATTATATAGCCCTGGCTCATCTGGAACTCACTATGTAGACCAGGCTGGACTCAAACTGCCCCCTGCCTCCACCTTCTGAATGCTGGGATTAAAGGCATGCACCACTACATCCAGCACGGATTTCTGTGTCTTTTAAAAAGGCATTTCTTTAAGATGAGTGCTCTTCCAAAGGTTTTCTTCATTTTAAAAAATATTTTATAATTTTTATATTATGTGTATAAGTGTATTGATTGCCTGTATGTAAGTACACCCATGTTGTGCAATGCCTGCAGAAGTCAGAAGAGGGTGTCGGATCCCCTGGAACGGGAGTTATGGACAGTTGTTAGCCACCATGTGGGTGCTGGGAATGGAACCTGGGTCCTCTGCAAGAGCAGCCAGGGCTCTTAACCACTGAGACATCTCTCCAGCCCCTGAAGGGTTTTTTTGTTTTGTTTTGTTTGTGTTTTTGTTGGTTTTGTCTTTTTGAGACAGGGTCTCCTTGTAGCCCCAGCTGTCCTGGAACAACTTTATGTGTATTGTCTCCTGCTAACTTAAAGACACAGACTCAGGACCTCGCGAACCTGACACTACAGGCAGACATCTAAGAAATTTAACCTTGGTAAAAATTCCTTGCTGGCTTAAAATTTTTTTGGGGGGGGGTCTTTTTGAGCCCCAGCTGTCCTGGAACTCACTATGTAGACCAGGCTGGCCTCAAACTCACAGAGATCTGCCTGCCTCTGCCTCCCAAGTGCAGCACTGGGTACATTTACCTACATGCAGGCAATACATGCATACGCATTAAAAAATATATATGCTCAGAGAAATTTGTGTTTTATTTTTAGATTTATTAGTGTATGTGTGTGTGTATATATATATATGCGCACATCTGAGTGTGGGTTCCTGTGGAGGCAGGAAGAGGGTTTCAGAATCCCCTGGAGCTGGAGTTATAGGCAGTTGTAGGCTGCCCAACATGGGTCCTGAGAACTGAACCAAGGTCTTCTGGAAGAACAGCAAGCACTCTCAACTATGGAGCTATCTCTTCAATCTCTGACTTTTTATTTTATTTAGTTGTACAATGAACATGCCTTACTCTATTTTTTGAGGGGTTGCTTATTTTCAGTGATGCTGAGGATCGAACCAGGGCCCCAGCCATACCAGATAAATGCTTTACCAACTGAGCTGTATCTCTAACTAGAGGAGGGTGTTCAGTTCAGGGCTGGGCATATGGCTCAGTGGTAGAGACTTGCCAGCATGCACAAGGTCTGGGTTTGATCCATCACTACAAAATCAAATGAATAGCTGGTTAGCTATGGCTAGCTGTGGCCTTGGAATATCCAAGTGTTCTCTGTCTCATTGGTCTAATTCCACAGATCAGAGATGTCATCTAAGTAAACATGCACAGGAAAACCTCCATAATTTCATCTTTAAAAATTAATAGACTTGCTGGGCATGGTGGCGCACGCCTTTAATCCCAGCACTCAGGAGGCAGAGGCAGGCAGATCTCTGTGAGTTTGAGGCCAGCCTGGTCTACATAGTGAGTTCCAGGCCAGCTGGGGCTACAGGGAGACCCTGTCTCAAAAAGACCAAAAAAAAATTTAATAGACTTAATTTTTTTTAAAAAGTAGCTCAACGATTAATGAAAGATGATCAGAAGTACAAAGTTCCCTCATAGTCTCTCTTTCCCGTGCAGTGTCCCTATTACTTTATTGGCACATGTATTAAAACTGGACCGATATTAATGTCACTATAACCCAGTCCACAGTGCACATCAGGATGTACTCTGTGTGTTGTGCTCTTCGTAGAACGGTAATGCTGGGCACCCACTGTCACTGGCTCAAACAGTGACTTCACTGCCCTCAAAGCTGTTGGGCCGCCTGTCTCTGCTTCTCAGCCTCCAAACCTTTGGCAGCTACTGATCTTCTTGTAGTTTCAACTTTTCCAAAATGCCGTCTTGTTAGAATCAGAGTATATAGCCTTTTTGGATTAAATTGTTTACGTAGTGGTATGCATTTGAAGTTCCATGTTTTGTTATTGCGTGAGTGTGTGTGTGGATGTGGATGTGGATGTGTGTGTGTGTGGATTGTGTGAGTGTATGTGTGGATGCTGGAGGTCCACCTGAGTATCTGAGGCGGGCCTTCTTCTCCTTGAGACCGAAGGTTCACCAGTTAGGCTAGACTGGCTGGCTGGCTGGTGAGCCCCAGGACCCTTCCAGTCTCTGCCTCAGCAGTGCTGGGATTACCGGCACATGCCACTCACCTTCCCTGTGAGGTCTAGAGATTGAATTTGGGTCCACATCCTTGCCTAGCAAGCACTTTACCAATGGAGCTCTCTCTCTCTACCTCCACTACATGTTTTTTTTCATGGCTCAACGGCTCATTTCTTTTCCTTCTGAATAATACTCCTTTGTATGGGTTTTCAACTTCTTTAGCCATTTCTTTATTATTATTTTTTGGTCTTTTTGAGACAGGGTCTCCCTATAGTGGGGCTAGCCTGGAACTTAGTATGTAGACCAGGCTGGCCTTGAACTCACAGAGATATGCCTGCCTCTGCCTCCTGAGTGCTGGGATTAAAGGTGTGCGCCACCATGCCTGGTTTATTATTATTTTTATGTGTATGAGTGTATTGCCTGCATGTGGGTAGGTGCACCCATATCATGCAGTGCCTGAGGAGGTAAGAAGAGGGCGTTGGATCCCCTGGAACTGGAGTTACAATTGTTAGCCGGGTGCTGGGAATCAAACCCGGGTCCTCTGCAAGAGCAGCTAATACTCTACCATTGAGCTGTCTCTCCAGCCCTGGTTTAGCCCATTTCGGTGGCTATTTTGGAGGCTTCCATGTTTTAGGCTTCTGACTAAAGCTGACATAAGCATTATATGCATGTTTTTGGTGTACATAAATCTTCAGATCATTTGGGGAAATGCTAAGTGTGATTGCTGGTTCATATTTTGAGAGCATGTTTCATTTTGAAAGAGACTGCCAAACTGCTTTCCAAAGTGGCTGTACCATTTTTTATTCCCACCAGCAGGGAATAAAAGTCCCTCGTTTCACATCCTCGTCAGCATTTGGTGTTGGAAGCATTCTGACTCGGCCTCTTTAATAAGTATGAAGTAGACTCACATTGCTGTTTTTGTTTTTTGTTTGGTTTTTTTGAGGTAGGGTCTCGTGCAGAGCAGGTCAACTTGCTGTGCAGCCGAGGGTCCCAAGTGCAGGACTTACAGGTGTACACTGCGGTACTACGTGTAATGCGTCCTGGAGATGGAACCCATGCTTCATGCATGCTCAGCTAGAACTCCAACTCCCCCACCCTCACACCGCTGTTTAGTTTACAGTTTCCTAAGATGCTGTGCCTCAGCGCATGCTGCTTCTGTGCACCTCCTTGGTACCTGCGAAATCGTCTGCCTAATTCCTAATTGCATTGCTCATTTCCTTATTGTTGCATTTTTTAAAATTATTTAATAACCACATGATTAGAAACATTTCATTACAGCATTACCATATTCAATAACAATTTCCAGAGCAAAGATGCTTCTCTTTCAAAATTAGCTGTAAATTTTGAGGTTCACAGTTAAATTAATACAGTTATACAATATTGAACTCAGTATAACCCTTATAAGACATAAAATTGAATGAGGGTTTAACCTTGTAAGAGATCTCCATTTCTTTTTAAAATAGATGGTTTCATACAGATAAGTTCACTTTTAATGCATTTGATGTTTGCACATGCATCTTTAATCTCTATATATCTGATTATTACTAGTCACAGTCATTTACTTTCTGAGATCCTTGGCACCTGAGCATGGATATAAA